TGTTTCTGAAGATTATTTTTGATCTACATTGTTAAAAGAGAAGATCATCGTGATTCTACATTCGAGGGGGAGAATGCTAGAAGATCTTTCTCAACAATTGATCGCTTGAAGATTACAAGTTGAAGATTTCATTTGAAAGAAGACATATTGTGCATAATGTTTCAAAGTTCAAACAATGACTCAAAGCGCAGAATTTTCTTTCAAGTCTGAATACAAAAGGGGAGAATGTTAGGACTGAAAAATCAGTATTATTGTATTCGTCTTGAAAGTTAAATATAGTCTATAATTGTAAAAGTCAGCGTGTTTGACTTTCTTATAGAAGTTTGACTTTGACTTGTCTTTATATGTTGACCATATAAATAGGGGCTAGTGTTTGTAATTTGTAGAGAAGAGAGCTTATTTGTAATAATACGTACATAAATGAGAGTTCGACCAGAATTGTAGAGTTTGACTTTTCCTCTCAAAGTTCATATTGTGTTCTTACAAGATATATCAAGATTCTGCCATTGTTATGAAGTTAATGAAGATTGATTAGAGATAAGGGACTCCACAACCCGTAGCAACTTTAAGGTGATAAGAATCTTGATTTATGCAAGAGTTGTGTAATTTAAGATGCATATATGATTATGGTTTTACTAGAACAACGATTACAAACATGTTTAACGTCGACATACTATCAGGCAAAGGGATTGATGCAGTCTAGAATCCATTGGGAAAGACACCAAGAACACATTGTAGTGAATTTTTTATTTTGGTTATGAACATATAACTGTATCATTGGTTATGTACTTAGGTTATTCAAGTGAAGTTTCCAATATACTTGTATAAATCAAATTATGATTTCCTTTTTGGACCTTACAGGAATATTAGAATATGGGGCAGTTGTTACACGTGAGTGAAATGGAAAATCTTGCTAAAGTTTCAATCTTCTCTTTGAATATTTTTGTTGTCAAGCATTGTGTAGGCTATGCCATATATATGGCTATTGGCTATGTCATTAACGCCTTCTTTGAATATCTTCATTTTGGTTTATTGTAAAGATTATGTTGAAGCCCAAGCTTTCGAATCATGCAGATAATGGATCTGAGGATGGCAATCATACACAAATGATGTACGCGGAAGATAGGAAAGTGGATGTCAATGCCTATATGCATGCCCATGGCTATTTGGTTTCAGTATTAATGTTTGTAGGTAGGTTGGTTGTTTATGGCATAAACTTCATATAGAAAAAATGATTCAAATGGCTTCAGGTTTGATTTGTGGTAAAGAATCTTAAATTATTGTTTGTTTGTCTGTCTATAATGAAACAAACATTCCTATCTCTTCAAAACGAGTGAAGTTGTAGAAACCAGAAGCAAATCCTATCATCATAATACCTTAAACATTCTACAAATATTCTACAGGGAAACCAAATTAATTGTGGGAGTTAGTTTCCTAATCAAATTCAAATTGTATAGTAGTGATATATGCATTTTTTGTCATTTGCTAAAGTTATGTCCAAATATTTATCGGTTACAAGATGCAGGGTGTTGGTCAGATGTTGCAACTTTGGCAGCAACACATTTAAAAGGAACCAATTATGCAAGGTTCATGGGCCGTTTACCCAAATGCTTATCCGGTATGCACTTACCAGTAGGACTCAACATTATAATTTATTTAGATGCGTAAAATTTTAGTACAACAAAGCATATTGAATGCAACAATTTACTAGGTAAGCGCTTACCTGGGTAAAAGTCGTCATCTTCACTTGCCGGGTAAGACTCTCCATCTTTCTCATCGCTCTTACCCGGTAAGATTTTTGGCCCTTCTCATGTTCATCCGATGAGAAAATTTATGCGTTAAGCACTTGTGTTTATAGTAAATGGCCTCTCACTCACATCTTCTTTCAATAGAATAGATATTGATGAGAACATGAATTGTCTGATTTATTTGTTATTTGCATCTTTTGTTTTCATAAATTGATACTGAATTTTTGCATCTTTTGCATCTTTTTAAATGTATGTAACATGCATGTACATATTTTGGCTTTTGAGAAATCATGTTTTTTATGTGTATACTAAGACCAGTTCTAAGTGAGATTAATATTCATGATCTTGAAGTTCAAGCATCCAAGGTAAAATGGGTAACTTTAATAGGTTTAGCTATTAAATCTCTGTTTTTTATGTCTAGAAATTGAGAATATCATATCTTTTGAAAAATATGTTTCGAACCATAACTCTTATTTATTCAAACTGTATTAATATGTAAAAGACAAAATRTAAGTTACATCATCGTTAAAATCTCTTTTAACAAAACCATTGAAGCTTCAAAATCGTTAAAATTCACGGATCCCGCCGCATTGCACGGGTACACAGCTAGTATTAAAAAAACGATTTTGAACCCTCAATCAAGCCGTAATATTAAAAAAAAATGAATAGGTTTGCATTGGTTGCTTTAGAATGGAAGTGTTTCAATTATTTAATATTAAGTTTTGAGGGAGATAAGAAATTTTGAGGGAGATAAGAAATCTTTTATAAAACCTTGCCATTGTACATATTTCTGCTAAGCACATCATTAAGAAACCAAGAAAACTCCCCATCAACCAAGTCTTGAAACTTGTACAGATTTTCAAATTTCTTTGTTTCCCTTAGACACTTGAGAAAGAAATCAAGTAACAATTACACAAGCAATTAGAAACAAGCAACCAAGAGATTAATCAAGGTTGTTAGCTCTAGTATAAATAAACCGATTAAAAATAAACCATCTCTTCAAAAATCAAACAACAATTTAGCACTAATTCAAAAATTCAATAATACATACCTATTCGAAACATCTAGTGGCAACAATTTAGCCATAGTATAAAGAAACCCATTAAAAAATAAATCCTTTCTGCAAAAATCAAACAACAATTTAGCTTTAAGTCAAAGATTCAATAATACATACCTATTCCAAACATCCAGTGGGCCATATTGTTTGTGAGGAGCGTCGAACGGCAGAGAATAGAGATGAAGAAAGATAGAGGTGGTCTATGAGAGGTGGATGGGATTTTGAATAAAGGTCTTTCAAAATAAAAACCCTAAACCCCAAGGTATGGAAGATAGAGGAGGAGGGTAGGGAAATGGAGGTACATATTATGTGTTTTTACCTGATTCGAGTAGAGGAGCGACGAAAGAGGAGTGATGGATGACGATGGAATTGAAGGAAGATGACGATGGAAGCTTGAATGAAGATGACAATGGAAGCTTGAAGATTGGGATGGAAGACGAGCGATGGATTGATATATATGAGACTGAATCAGTTATGGAAGCTTGAATCGTCATCTTGGGGAGATCAATTTGAATCGTCATCTTAGGAACCTAAAAGCAATTGTTGGGAACCTAAAAGCAATAAGTGATAGCAGAGAGGGAGACTTGTAAATGTAGGGAGGAGGAGATGGTGAGGGAGGGGGTGATCGACTCCAGTGTATTTTAAGATTTAAAAAGCAATTATTGGGAACCTAGTGATGATCGATTCCAGTTTATTTTAATAATTTAAGACTTTAAGTATTTTAGTGTCGCTTTTGGACGTACCCCTTCTAGTATTCACAAAAGCAAATGACACGACCCGATACACAAAAGCAAATGGCACACGACCCGAAAGAAATCGGGACCAATCCGTGTTATGCCGATTAGTCAATTGATTCTCCGTTAATATCCTGCCCTCTCCGTCATCCGTGTATTGCAACCACCATTTCCACCATGGCTACGAGGAAGCTATCACTATGGAAGCTTCTCTGCTGCCGTCGTCATCACACTCTTTGTCTAATCACTTCATCAATCTCTTCATCATCTACTTGCTCTTCAATCGAACCCCACCATTTCGCTAGTACATCATATCGATATTTCGCTACACATGGCTTCTATAGACATGGTGATGGTGGTGGATTTTTAAGACAATACAAGTACTCATCAGCGTCATCATGTCTATAGAAGCCATGTGTAGCGAAATATCAATATGATGTACTAGCGAAATGGTGGGTTCGATTGAAGAGCAAGTAGATGATGAAGAGATTGATGAAGTGATTACACAAAGAGTGTGATGACGACGGCAGCGGAGAGGCTTCCATATTGATAGCTTCCTCGTAGCCATGGTGGAAATGGTGGTTGTAATACACGAACGACGGAGAGGGGCGGGATATTAACGGAGAATCAATTGACTAATCGGCATAACACGGATTGGTCCCGATTCCTTTCGGGTCGTGTGCCATTTGCTTTTGTGTATCGGGTCGTGTCATTTGCTTTTGTGAATACTATAAGGGGTACGTCCAAAAGCGACACTAAAATGCTTAAAGTCTTAAATTATTAAAATAAACTGGAATCGATCATCACTTATTGCTTTTAGGTTCCCAATAATTTCTTTTTAAATCTTAAAATACACTGGAGTCGATCACCCCCTCCCTCACCATCCCCTCCTCCTCCTTCGAACAAGGATCAACAAGCTGCCCTTGCCACCGTGCATGACCCGCATCACCATGTCCTCGACATCGGTCACTGGCACGGGCCTGTGCAACCAATCGTGCTTCGGTTGAGGTTCAACGGGCTGCCCGCTAGCAAAAACAGAGAAGAAACCTTGCCTCAATGCATCACCCACATCACCACGTCCTAGGCACATATGACCGGTCACTGGCCTAGGCCTACGTAACCAATCGTGCTTCGGACGAGGATCAACATGTTGGACGTCAATTCCCTAGCAACTTTTCTTCGATATCGGATCATTCTCGTTTACCGACAGGGCCAGGCCAGGGGGAGACCTTTGATCCGATATCGCGACTCATGCTCTGACTAGTGTCTCCCCTTTTCCTGTTTTCTTTAAATTAAAACCACTGAGGCATCTTGTCAACAAATGGACGAGCATATACCTACTATATACATGTATTTGGAACAAAAACGATATTCCTAAAGGGATATGGATGATAATTAGTATATCGTGAAGCAATTTTCTTAGAAAATCAACGTTCTCAACTAATTAAACCCTACGTCAACGAATCCAGAGTATTTCATCCATTAACGACTAATTTCATACACATATAATGATTCGAAAACGAGTAGGAAAACAGTGGTGATGAATAGACTAACGTAAATTGATTGAATTCAATTAAAAAACCTGAAACTGAAGCTACGGAGCACTCCAGAGCGTCGAAGGCTCGAAGCGGAGGAGTTGCGGTGGTTGGAGGCGGACGGCGAGAGAAACATGCGTCAGGTTCAGCTGGCGGTGGAAAAGAGAGATATAAATGAGGGTAAATTTGGAAACCATAATCACTAAATGACAAAATTGCCCCTTAGATCTATAATCATAATTATGGTTAGGGATTAGAGTCGTTAAAATTTAAATTTAGGTATCTAGGGTTTAGTGTCATGATTAGGAGTTTAATTAGTTAGCTAGGGTTACCTCCTATATTATTGGCGTGATTGAATTATAGTCATCACATATGCGAATATCTACGTCGTCGATACTGATCGACAACGCTAATTACTTCAGTAGTAAAATGATTAATGATTGATAGTTCTTATATTTTAACATTTAATCGAGAACATAATCTAATAAGATTCTTTTTATTATTATCTAAACAATTAAAATACTCGATTAATAAAAATCATTGATTTATGATAATTAATATAAGTGACTTAATTAGATTAAAGAATGTTATAATTAATTTAAAAATAATATGTTAAGCGTTATCGCTTCTCCAAAACGATCGTTCGTCACGTCTTGGCTTGTCCTTGTGTGACGGGCTGCGTCGAAGAGGAATGTTACCTGGTTGATCCTGCTAGTAGTCATATGCTTGTCTCAAAGATTAAGCCATGCATGTGTAAGTATGAACAAATTCAGACTGTGAAACTGCGAATGGCTCATTAAATCAGTTATAGTTTGTTTGATGGTATCTGCTACACGGATAACCGTAGTAATTCTAGAGCTAATACGTGCAACAAACCCCGACT